TGGAGAACTAATTCTTGACCCCATCTCTACTCATGACGTGAACATATCACTTTTAGTCTGTCATCGAAGTTGCACTGAGTAAGCTTTCAGCATAGGCAAATTAGTTTTAAAAAGTTTATGTAAATATTGTTTGATGGATCATATGATGGCACTTCATTCTTTGCAGTTAAGTCCCAGAGTCTTGCTGGATGTGATGAAGTTTCTTAGGCTTTAGACCTAAATTCCTCACATTCCTCGTCATCAAGGAACTAAAATTTACGGCTTGTTCCGATCTAATCAAGAGGCGCATATTCAATTATGACATACGAACCAGATTACTTTCATGACTGAGTATATCGTAGAATGACAAACTGCGATTAATTCATGTCGCTTTTCGTGGCACAAGATGAGCATATTAAGCGGATGATCGGTATATGTTCAATCAAAATGAGTGAGTAATTAAGCATTCAATTATATAATGCAATATATTATCAGTAAATATTTATAAATTATTATTCTTTAATTGTCTCACAATTATAACTGAGTTATGTCACCCTATTTCGTTTAAGATGACGAAATACTGGTAGTTAAATTTTCCCACAATATGCCCTTGGGTCATAGGGCAGATGTGAATTCCAAGGAATGCCAGGCAAACTTATATTTGCTATAGCAATCGACGAAATTACTTTTTTGAAAGTGAGTAGTTTTCGAAATGCCATCACTTTTCTAAATCTTTCCATTTAATTCTACTCGTCCCTCTAAAGGTAGTAGCTTGAAGAAAAAATAATAATTGTAGCCATTTCCAGCATGCATTTTCTTGTTTATGCTCTACTCGGCTAGACAAGTTTAGTATAAAAAAATGTTGAGGAGAGAATTTGGAGAAAGCGTGGGTTCACGATGCTGCAAATTTAGATCCATCTTAGCACAAGGCTTAGTAAAGGGGTAAAATTCATATATATGATACCATTCTACCTCAAGCCCAGTTTCTGCAATGTGCTCCACTATCTCCGAAGCGTAAAAACAACAGCCACTTTAGGCAATTTTGTCTTTATCCATTTTTCGTCAAACAGGGCGACATGTTTTTACAGCATAAAGTAACCTAATGAGTAGCAATTTTAAGCAAGTATAAATAGATTTTGACAAATATTCTGAGGCATTATTCTTGTGGAGACTTTCATTTCACGTTAAAAAGACAATGACTGTTGATTAACGTGGTTCTGTGGTCGTTTGAGTATCCGATGCAGCTGATAATAACTCAGCTGATAAGGCATTTCCATTGAGTTTGGGTGAAAAGGAGCTGAGCTTTTGTCCCTCAAGTGACGGACATTATCAGCGCTGAATTTGATTAGCTCAAAAGCTTCAAGAAACCACAAAGTGAAGAAGATACTGAACTGCACTTTCGCTTTGTTATAATGACTCATATAAATGACTTGTGATTTCGTACGGACGGAAGCACACATACTTTTACATAAAACTTCTTAATGCCCCATGAAAATAACTAAGCCAATCGTTCTATGTCTATCTATAAATTGTGATATCTTTTCAGTTCTTCAGGTGATAAGACTTCCTTTATTAGTATTGACTTGAAGCTTCTGAGGAAATAAGATCTAACTCTCACGATTTACATCACTTGACAGATAATTATTCATCCCATTTTCATCCACACTTTTATTAACTATTTAGATTTTTTTAACAACCGATTTTTATCAAGTTTTGTCATCATTGACAAGAAGCTCTAATGTCATCTTCATATTATTTTTCTTAATTCTTGACAAATATCGCCATAGAGCGCATGAAAAGACGTCGTCTCCGACGCAAATGGCTCGAAAAATTGCGTAGTCAGGGTCAATTTGAAGAGAATGATGAGGTCAACCGTCAGCGACTAGAAGAGGAATTAGCCGGCCAGTTAAATCCTGCCTCTCCTTTCCCAAGCTCTAATTTGAGCGCTTGCGACGAAACACGTATCCAACTGGTCTGTCCAGCTTCCGCCAACCCACTGGCCTATGGACCATTCGGATCTGGAGTTCATCTTACCCCGACGTCTGCCTGTACCTATCGAGTGCCAGGAGACATGGCAACAGGCCGTAGACAAGCGCTTCAGCTTCCTGCGCCACCGCGTCTTCAGCTGACCCTGGGAAGATCACGTCGTCGACGTAAAATAAGCAGTGAACAGCAGGACACAGTAGTCCTACGTGCATCAAAAGGCTCCG